AGTCGTCAGGCGGTGATGGCTGCAGGGACGGGAGGAGGAGGAGACAGTGTCACCCAGGGCCACGGCCCTGTCCCCAGCTCTCTGCTCCGGGGTCCTCGGTGAACCCCTTCCGCAAGCCTGGTGTTGCTCTGGTCCCACGGGGGAGCACGGAGACCTGGGGCCACCCCGTCCACCCCGCCCTGGTCCCACACCGTACCTGTGCCCGAGCCGCCAGACTCCCCATCCGCGCCTGCGAGAGAGAAACAGCCGTGAGCTGCCAGCCCCGTGCTCGCTACGGGCACGGTGCACGTGCCAGGAGCCGGCCCAGGAGCCACGGCCGCGCTGCAGCCACTGGGAGAGGAGCATGGCACCGTGAGCACCAGGGGGGAGACACGACCTCTTCCATACGTCCCCACTACAGGGCTTTAAAGAGGGGCAGCACAGGGAGGATGGGGATCGGGAAATGCTGGCAGCGGCCACAAACCGGAGCCACGAGACCGCCCCGGCACCGGGCAGCCGCTGGAGCCAGACCTGCCACCGGTACTCACTTGACGCCATGCCGTAGCCCTTCTTCTTCTTCTCTGCAGAGAGAAAGAGGCATCAGCATCCACAGCGCTTCGCCGCCAGGCTCGGGGCTGCCCACAGCGCAGCGGCTCGTGCCTGCAGCCCCTCATGGCCCCCCTGGCCCTGCCTTCCTCCCGCACCCCTCTGCCTCGCCGGCCCCAGAGCTTTACCTGATTTGTACTTCCAGAAGGCGAACGCGGCGATGATGATGGTGACAGCCACGATGGCACCACCTGCCGCCAGCACGATGGTGAACAGGTTGGACTCCGGCTCTGAGGGAGAGCAGGACTGTGAGGAGGGGAAGGGGAACCACCCCAGCCCACCGCTCCACGTGCCCAAGGACACCGGGCTCACCCCACGCGAAGAGGCCAGGCTCGAGCATGCTGGCATGCTCCACACGGCACCGGTACTTGTCCTTATCCTCCGGGCGGGCCTCGATGGAGGCCCAGGTGTAGTAGGTGCCGTCGCTGTTGGGCACGATGCTGCCCCGCTCGGTCTCCTGGTCCCTGACCTCACCGTTCTTCAGCCAGTTGATGGTGATGAGCCGTGGGTAGAAGCCGTAAGCGCGGCAGTACAAGGTCAGGATCCCGTGGGCCTCCTTCCCCGACACTCGGACCGTGGGGGGCTCTGGGGAGGGGGTGGCGGTGAGGACCGGCACACGCACGCGTGCCGGCCGGTCCCCAGGGTCCCCATCTCGCCCTCACCTTTCCTCTCCAGCGCGGCCTGCCCGTAGCTCACGTACTTCCTCAGCCACTCGATGCAGATGTTCTCCAGGTACTGCTTCCACCCATCAGGGACACCCTCGTCCTCCCACTTCCTCTTGGTGATTTGTGCTGCCGCGTCTGCCGCGGTGAACGTCATCGTGCTCATGTCGAAGGCGATGAAGTCCCTCCCATCGTAGGCCA